GTGGTCTTCCCGTTTGTTACTTACCAAAGGATTATATCATCTCCCGCATAAAGAAATCATGTATGATTTTTAATATGATCTCTTTATCATATTTTCAAACGTGTCAGAAAAAGCCGCTACCAATCATCTGATTACTGCGGTACGGACATTTTTCGAGTGACTAATGAGCTCCAGCAGTGGTAAAGCCGCTAGTATACTGGACCGGAACCCGAAACGTATGCTAATGATACAAAAACATCACCAGAACCAGTTTCTGAGCGGTCGACCAGCCTCGGACAACTTCCTCAAAGGCAACATAAACCAGCGAATGCAAAACAAGGCGAATAGCGCTTGACGATCAAATTTACGCCAGAAACGTATAACGCAGAAGTACAGAACGTTTAACCAACACGGAACCCTACCCGACAGCCGAACAACGTTGGTCGGTCACAAAAATGGGTACATAAACAAAGAAAATTTTGGAATAAACCATCAAATAGCGCACAAAGAAACGGTCTGAGGCCACTACCTCAAAAAAGCTAGTGGTCGGCTAGTGAGTTAAACTGAAGAGCCGAATATGTGAAAGCAATTACTGAACGTCAAACGTCAAAGCTGATTGGTGAAGCGAAATCTGGTCCTACATACGACGATGCATGCAACGCATGAAAAATCCTCAACTTTTATTTTAACTTCAACTAGACGATGTTTTGGCAATTTTCCAGACTGAGACTGCATTGTCGCATCGTGTCCTCGTATCCGACTGCATAAGAAACAGACACTTTAAACAGGCCACGTTCCATGGTATGTGAGGGACTGCATCTCGAAGCTCGCGAGGTGGCTCTAGCGGGCAAAATCATGCCAAGGCATGTTTAAATCCCGCCGAGGAAACTCGGAGAGGAGGACAGTACATACGCCGTGAAATCCGATAGATGCCATGAAACGCCGTTGTGATAATGAGGTAAAAACTCGCCAGGCCTCTTTACGCAGCCGCAGGTGGCGTAAGTTCTAACGGTGGAGCAGGTGGCGTCGTTTGGTGCATGCGACAACATAACGCCGTTCCGTTTCGACAGACAAGTACCTGATACCGGACTGATGAAGGAGTGGGTGACGAGGTAACTGTGCGCGTCATCACTCAAACACCTCATCTCACTCACATCCACTATTGCAACGGCAACTATACCTCTGGTTAAGCAGAGTATAAGCTAACAGTCGACCAGGCACAATAATGGAGAACAAAATGCCAAACTGTTCATTCACTGTTCAGAGTACAGACAGTATGACGCATCTCGCATGTACATAGCGGAGAGGGGGAGGCGAAAGGGAACTCAGTTCAGTCAGAGTAGCATTTTCTTGAAATGAATGAGCATCTAGTTGGTGCACTGGTGGTCATCAAAAGCAGCATGAACAACGCCGGTTTGGTCAATCACATGATTGGGCAGTTTCTCACGTGTCCTCTTCAAGATGGAGAGGTGGGTTGGCTTTGCAAGTTCTTTATTGTCATTCGCAGCAGTTCGGAGCAGGAAGGCGAGGTTTTGATCCCTGCTGCAAGAGTTAAGTAATTTTCTAGCGAAAGGGGGTGATAAGACTAATCGAATCTGCACAGAATTCGTCTCTTTCATAGATGAGATTGTCACAGACTGTCTATTTTGAAGGACGGTGATAAACGGCCTGAAATCTCGATACTGATCAATCATCTCTTTGATAAAATTGTTTGCTGCTTTATGTTTCCAGCATTAAAAGATAAGAGAAGATATCTACAACCCCTTAGGCGGCGAGAAGAATGGAAACCATGCAATACTACGGGAACACGTTCATCTGTCTTACCTGACACTACTGCAGCGTCAGTGTAAAGTAATAAATACATTTTCTTCTTTACACTGTACACTTTCGTCGTTTCAGTCCGGAATCATTATTTATGATGTCATTTACGCAACGGCGATATCAAAAGCTCCCACTGTTGGACACTAATCCAGAATATCGGGGTTGTTTTATTGATTTTGAAGATATCTTTTTATTGTTTCCATGCAAAACTTCTTACTTGACAAAACCTGAGAGGAATCGGTACCCTGTGCAGTAGCATTCGAATGGCCTAACGTGTATTCGGAAGAGCTGCAAACAAGGCTAACAAAACCAATACCTCATCTAGGCATAACAGTACGGCAAAAATTACATTCCACGACAACCGGAAGGAACAGCAAAACGGACGAGTTCAGGAAGTGGAAAGGAACGAGCGTAATTATGAAACAACAAAAAAGAAAGCCATAAAATAATGCATGCTATCAACGTGATCAAATATAAAAAATTTGATAACTGTTATTCAGGTAATGCTCTTGGGAAGTGGGATGTTCGTTTAAAAATCATTTGATTGCATACTCTAATGGACACAGGGCATTCATCTTCGTTAAAACAAGCATTAGACCAAGGACGTCCATTAAGACTGGTGTTCTCCCTCTTAAAAATGAGTAAAATTCAGAAACCGTTGCTGTCAAAAACCTTATTCGAGGAAATGAACGAACTTCAAAATCACCGCTAATGCTGAAGATCTGCTTCGCATTATGTGTACAGTAGCAGCAACCTTAAGAACAAATTCACCCGTTGATGCACAGATTCTCTGCAATGAAACACGTCGTATGAAGAATCAACAACACATCTTGTGTTTCATACCCCGAATGGAAAAAAATGGAACTGTAACTATTTAACGTGCATAACTGATAAGTCAAAAGCAAAATGATTTTTTCACTTCCTCCCTCCCTTCTCCGGTCCATCGTCAAGAAACGTCAGCACAAAAGCTTTCATATGGTCGGAGCGCGCAGATAAAGCCAACTGGCTGGCAATGATTACTCAAAAATCGAGTACTGCTTGAGTCATCTTCACCGATCTGTTTCTTCTGTTTCTGACAGAACCAGAATAGCCGCATCGCCTATCGGATGGCCAACGGAATGAACGATTGATGCAGTCTTTGAAAAGAAACAGTCGAACGAACCACCAAGTGGTCATCAACACAATTGGCACTGGTTCCGTTGGACGGCAACGTGTTTATTTACCTAGTTATGTTTCTCGACATTTCAACTGCCTCATAAGTCATGCCTGCACTACCTCAGTGACAGTTTTTGATCACTGCGTGCCACCAATGCTAACCTATGGATGCGAAACATATACCTTAAACCTGAAAACTATTCGTAAACTACAGACTATGTAGCGGAGCATGACAAGATGCATGACGACAATAACACCAAAGGATATAAAGAACAAACGGATAAGAGCACAAACAAGAGTGTACGATGTCATTAGTGGAGTGATAAGTTATAGCGGAATGGGCTGAACATGTTGCAAGAAGAAGCTACCGTCGCTGAACCAGAGAGACATTAGATTTTGTTACAAGACGGTCCGCAGAACCACCCCCCCCCCATGATCGATAACAGGGTTATACGGCTACAAGGCTATAAAAATCGCAGAAAAGAGAAATTTATGGCAAGGACTGGGAAAGGCCTTCACATCCAGCAGTGGAACGAAAAAGGCTAATGATGATGGTGACGACAGTTCCAAACTGCCCGACTGGTCAGTCATTGTCGCTTTGTCATATTAACACGTGTTTTGCCGGCGTTATGCTCAGAAATGAGATGACACACGGCTTCACAAAATCACGTCCGTAATGTTACGCTACGTTCACACAAAAACTAATATCCGCTGCGTGACCCTGAGGGGGGGGGGCACCTACAAACATCCGTGCACTGGACTCTCTTATTTACAGTCTGCAAAAAGTGGCCACGTGGTTATAGACACATGCATCATCGAAGGCAAGACATATTGCTACGAAACTAGAGACCGCATGAAGCTACTGATCATCACGTCTTTTACATGTCCGGCTTCCAAATAGGTCACCATCCACAACATCGTTTGTTCAATTCGGCTCCTAAACCTGTCTCTGCGGTAGCGCACAAATTAAAATTATGAAGCTAGCCTAAACATGACTGCAAAATTTGTAGCCAAACTGCCAGAACATTATAAAAGCGAATGATCGCTTAATCAACTAAACTTAACAGGGTTAAGAAAGAAGTATTTAACAGCTCGAGACGTGGCATAAAAAGCAACAGGTAATCTGAGACTGACGGACAGCTGCTTTGTACGATTACTCATTGACACCCTTCCGACAATACTTCGACATCACCGTTGAGGTTGAACGAGACCAAATGATTATGCTTAAAAGAAAAAATTTTTAACTGTTTTAATGTTCGACTCCTCTAAGCGATCTTGATCATGGGTTACTTGTGGCGCCCTTCCGCCAGTGAAATTTATGGTGCGGAGTTGATTCTCGTTTCTATGCTATCAGTCATGAAGGGAGAGTCAGCACCTATACGGGAAATATAACGTGAGAGAAAAAACTACTGGTAATCACTCAACTTTCGCACCCAGTACCTTCCTTCGCCTTTATTTATTCAGCATTAGTTCCTCCCAAATATTTAATTATTTTCGCCTCCTTTCGTTCATATTTTTCAATACTTTTTAATCCATCAGAAACAATGGAAAAAATGGTAGCAACGTTTTATGGGAAAACACGACGTAGTGCATTTATCATACAAACTATCTTTGACGATTTGGATCATACCTTATCCGTTTCTACAGAATGAAATAAAACAAGGCAGATTAATGCTACAGTATAAAATGCAAATGATACTCAGGTAGCACCGGTATTGCGAAGCGTTCAACCTCGACGTTTGGAAATGATTAAACCAGTAGCATAAGACTGCTTAATTTAATTTCCCTCGTTCAAGGTCGATTAATCATAATCGATGACGTGGAAGAATCTTCGTCGTGTTCGACCTCAGTGATATATACAGACAATTACTCGTCAGTCGCAACATAATCCCAACCTGTGGAAAAAAAATCAGGTTTACCCATTTCAATATTGTGTCCTCGAGAGGAATAGCAAGCTTGAAAAAAAACGACTGCATTTATCATCCGTTATTTGTGAAGAGCAGCAGTATTTAAATTGAACGATAAATATAGTTCACTGATTTTATACGGACCTTTGCTTCTGAAAGGCCGCTTCGAAAGGCCGCTGGTGGAAAACAGTTCCGTTGCGTGCGAACAAGGCAGCCTTCGAAGCGAAGGAAACCCAACCACCGACGAAGGAAAATCTTATAAGACGTGACAAGCAAAGGAGGTAAAAACTTATCTGTCACACGCTGTAGAGTTGCAGTGGGCCGATGCTGGCTCGCCAGCGTTTTTGTCTGTCTGTCCTCCGCCGATCAGAGCAAAGTCGCTTAAGGGCGATCGGATTGATCATCTGAGGCTCAGTCTCAACCTCGACGTTCGAGGAGAAACAGAGCAACCGACGCTCGAACGCCGTCTGTCGACTGTTTCAGAAACCGAGCAAAGTGAACAGCGATGGCAGTGTCAACGAAAGAAAAACACCAGCAACAAAGAACCGACATTCAGAAAGGGGGACAGGTCGGCGGCCAAAAGGTGCTTAGTAACACTGCCTACGCGCTGGAGTTCTACGCCCGTCCCATCACCAAGTATCGAGGAAAAAACAACGTAAATTTCTGAATGAATGCGGCGAGTCTAACCACGCAACAGCACGATTTATGGACATACGTTGTGTGATGCAGAAAACTGCGCTCCTTTACCCCAAAACCCAGTTTCTGCAAAGGTTTTTAACCAGAAACGTAATAACGGACCTTCATGAAGAATTCTAGATATTTTCGAATAACGAAACGGAAGTCGATTTCGTTTCGATACTCATCAATTATTAAGCTGGTTATGTCGTTCAAGCAGTGATATTCGCCGTGGCTGGCTCGACAGCCACCGACATTACGCATTAACCAGTGCTGTTTGATGAAACCCTGCAACAAAAGTAAATCGTTGTGATCAAACATCACGTAGGTTTGAACAAATTACGAGTTTACCTACGTCGATATTAAGCAGGTATAAGAAGATTGCGGCATTCTGGTTGCAAACGTAAGAACGATCAAAAAGACTTATGAACTTCACTCGTTTTTTCTTACCTGGAAGAACGCCTTTGAGACGTAGGTCGAATTGTTCGTACCGATTAATCATCCGATTGACCAACTTACTTGCGCTGTATATAAACAAACCGTGTTTTATGCTGTTTTCATTAAGCAGGTATAAATGATTAATGTCG